TGAATTCCAAATATCATAATTTTATTATCATCCTGATAGAGGAAAGTAGATGTAAACTGATAGTCCATGGAAAACCTGCGAAGGACTACATTCCCAAAGCATCACAACCGGTTTCTGTTTGTGTAAGGAAGTGCACATGACACATCTACTATTTTACACTCTGTCCTCCTGAAATTCCGAAATTGAAAGATTTACTATAAATGTGAGCTTACAATCCCGGTCAATCTGTTCTCAAACTGTCACCTCTTCTGTGGATTAAGTTGGGGCATTTTATACCCAGATGGTAGGCGGCTCTGCCGTCGCCCGGCTCACTACCACGCCTGATCTATTGAAGCCTTATGTGGTCCGCCACTCCAAGTTTCAGGATCATGGTTGCCGATTTCCTAACAACATAAACGTGAATATACAAATCACGAACGTTCATGTACTCTCGCTCGCTCTACGCACTCAGACTGTAAATACGCTCTCATCAACCTCACCAACCCTCGCGGTCTAAACCGCAATATTAATTCTGTACATCATTTTCTGCATTCGTCTTCTCCACTCGCCCTTGTTTTAACCGAAACACAAATCGGCCCCTCGTCGGACACCAACTACCTTCAATTCCCCAACTACACTCTCCGTTCCTCCGTTCTACTCAAAGCTGGTGTCTGCGCCTTTATTCTCATATCACTCGCCGCCTCCAGGACTTCAAATCTTGACTTTTCGAATCGTGAACTGCAGCTATTGTGGCTGAAACTCCGACTTCCTTTGTTTGATCATTACTTTTGAGTTCTTTATCGTTTCCCCCAAAACGGCAATTCTTCCATCTTCGATGTTCTATCTTCGAACATTAAACATTTGTTTGCAACCGACCCCAACTGCCATGTTACCATCTTGGGAGATTTTAACGTTCACAATCAGGACTTTTTGACACATTGATCTGCTACTTCACCTTTGGGACACGAAGCCGAACACTTCACTTTGGTCAACAACTAGTTGACCTCCCCACACATATCCCTGATCAAGCTGGTGATTGTGTCCACACCCTCGATTTAATTCTCACTTCGGTCTCTCTTTTCGTCTCCCTCCTCTAGGCTCATCAGATTGTTTCTTGTTCTATTAGGTTTTCAAACTTCGAGCCGCCACCCACCTCGAGACACATTCTAGCGCTACAACTCAGCTAAATGAGACGGTTTCCGTGATTTCATAACTGCTTACCTCTGGAACGATTGCTGTTTCTCTTTGGATGTTTCCAAATCCGTTACTAACTTCAAGGTACGCATCTTTTTATTCCGCACTTTTCCAAATCCGACGAACCCAAGTTCTCTGAGTGGTTTAACCATGCACGTGACCGCGCTGTGCGCTTTACACGTTCAGCCTTCCGCCGCTGGCGCCGCTCGCCCACCCCCTCTCCCACCATCGCTTCGTGCAAGCTAGGAACAGAAGCTCGACTACCATTCAGAGACTCAAAGAACGCTTTGTTCACCATTAAGCCGAAAACTTGGTCTCGTCCGCCACCGATAGCCGAACATTTTGGTCCCTTGCCAAAGCAATTTCCCGTATTTTCTGTTATTCCAACTTCCTCCCAATCTGCCATTCCTCTGATCTTGTATGTCAACCACACGAGAAAGTTGAGGTTTTTGCTTCCCAGTTTGCCACCAATTCCACCTTACCCCATTTTCCTACAAATCCACATTCTTCCTTCTTCACTGAAAACCCTTCTATACTTCATATCAGCACTAGGAAAATCCGTCAAACCTTGCGCTCTCTAAATGCAAACAAACCACCCGATCCGGAGGGTAATCCGCCCATCGTCCTCAAAATGTGTGCTCCCTAGCTAGCTCCTGTTTTACGTCGTCTTTTCTGTCTTTCCTTCAACTTTCTTCCTTTCCAACCCCCTGGATGCACGCCGTGATTTTTCCCATTCCCAAACGCGGTAACCTTTCTTATCCAAACAATTACCGACCCATTTTCCTCATACCTGTGGCTACAAAAGTATTTGAAACTATTATTTCTGGCCAACTACGGACGTTTCTTGAACGCAAAGGGCTACTGAGCGACAGCCAGTATGGCTTTCGACCGCGTCGTTCCACCGATTACCCTCTGGCTCTTGTCTCACAATCCTGGTCAGCCTTACTCGATAATCGCGGGGAAACACACTTGGTCTCGCTTAATATCTCAAAGACCTTCGATTGAGTGTGGCACGAAGGTTCACTGGCAAAACTACCCATGTTCGGGTTCCCTCCAGCGCTCGTAGCATGGATATCACGTTTCCTCCGTCCGAATTAATAAGGTTCTATCTCAGCCATTCCGTGTGAACGATGTTTTTCCCCAAGGTTCAGTACTTGCGCCCACCCTCTTAATTCTATTTATCAATGATCTCCTTTCGCAGTCTGCCAACCCGATCCACTCTTTTGCTGATGACACCACCCTCCACTGCTTTCTCTCCTACCGCACTGCTTTCCGTGCCCGAACCAACATGGATGGTGACCGTAGTGCAGTTAACGTGTCACGGACTCCGATTTCGAACACATCTCCTCCTGGGGCATCGCAAACCACGTTTCGTTCAATAGTTCTAAAATATCTCTTTCAAATGCTTTAAAACACCATTCGTTCTCCCCCATTTATCCTTTGATTCCACCCCTTTGCGTTCTACAGACTCGGTTTCCCTTCCTGGATTACCTTTAACCTTCTAATTATGCTGGTCCCGTTTTATTTCTAACCTGGCTTCTCGTGCTGCCCGCAAGGTTGGATTTCTGTTTCGCGCCAGACGTTTTTTCACCCCAGCTCATATTCTTCTACTGTACAAAACTCAAATGCTCCCTGCTTTTTAATACTGTAGTCGCGTATGGGGTGGGGCTTCGTCCTCTTGCCTTTCCCTTCTTCATCGTGTTCAACCAAAGGTCATCCGGCTAATCGGCGATCATTCCCTCACATCCAGTCAGCAGTCGCTAGTCCATTGTCGGGCAGTTGCTTCATTGTCCCTGTTCTACCGTTACTACTTTGGTTTTTGTTCTTCGGAACTTGCCTCGGCAGTTCCTCTTCCTGCAACTTTTACCCGCCCATCCCGTACACAGACATCTAGTCATCCTTATCAGGTTTCTGTTCCCAGATGTCGTACCACTCTACTCCAATCTTCTTTTTCCCCCGAACTGCCAACGTGTTGTTTTCCACCAACTTACACCTTTTAAAAACAGAATCAATAAATTGAATCTTACGTGAATGTTCCCCTACTCTCTCCTTTACAGTAAGCTATTTGTCCATGGGGATCTCCACGTTTATTGTGATTCACATTGTGTAATAAAAAAAGATCATTAGGGGAAACAGTTTGAATTGCGCCCACCGGGTAATCTGAATGTACCCAGTTAGTTGCAAAGTGCAAAAGACATCAATGCAAATGCGTGGGGATCGCTGCGGCACACCGGATAGTGTTAAATTTGTTGTACTGATAAACCTGACTTTCAGTGACTATCATTCTCGAATCGCATCCGTAAAAGCCATATGTTTTCAAGATACTGCTTGTTGTCATGTCCGACGCAACTTTTGTCACCGAAGGTAATTGGATGAAGCAAAAGACGGATGTAAGCTCCGGAGTGGTCGTCAGAGGTCAGGGTGTTTTATGTATGCGAGAAAAGAGACAACCGATGTCTGGTGGAATTCAAACTAAAAAGACAGACAAAAGTGCAGGAGCATGATGGGTACAGGTGCTTCCGGAGTATTGTCGAAACTCAGTCACAGTATCAGTTTGCTGCTTGTCAGTCATTTTTTGCAAAATCTTTTCATGATGTTTTCAATCGGTGTACGATTAGCTTAGGACTTATGCGCTTCAAACTGTTGTTTAAATTAAGAGATCGTAAGTTTAGGGAACATTCGGTTGATTAGGGTAATGGTATGAAAATGAATACAATCAAAGATATGCTGTGCCTGGTGTGTGTTAAAATCCACATTAATTCCCGTTCACGAGGATCAAAACGTTTTTTATTGAGCAGCAGAGATCGGATGCAAGTTATGGCATACAAGGACTTTGATCAATACCAGGGATATTTTACACTATATAGACATGATCCGATTCCTCAAAGAATAACACGAGTGAAAGAAACAGGCATCCTATCCGTCGCTGTTTCACGTTAACTAGGCCATCCAGTCACCCTTGCTTCTTTCCTTTAGAACCTAACAGCAATTTTATTCTGATAAAAACTGGAACCTCGACTGATTTATGACTCCAGAATTAAACTGGCTGCAAATGTCAGATGGATATTGATTTATTATTTTATTTTGTTTCCCTTTTTCCGAACTAGCAACAGTCATGTGATATTTGCCCATTACCCATTAATCTCACGTGAAAACGTCAGATGGGGATCTGATTAGCTTTTTCCAAACTTCCGGGTGCGTTGTACAGCAGCAGAGCGTTAGAATTAATACCACGAACAAGCCGCACATATCTCTCCGTGCATGGTCTTCATATCCATTAATTACTTCCCTTTCTTCTCTATCCAGGGTACTACTAAGCGTTCTGGAGACGAGAAAATCAACATTTGTTCTGATGGGGTCATTGGTCCGGATTGACTATTTTGTTGCAATTCGCAGTAAACAACAAAGTTTGCAAACTCAATGAGTAAATTAGTTTATTTGACTAGCGGAAACGTTTTCAATCAGTTAATTGAACGAACACAAAATGTTTTCACGTGTTTCTTGAGCTGTGGTTTCTCGGTTTTAAATCTATCATTGAACAATGAATGGCCTTATCCCATGAGTTAATGCAAAGGCCCATTTATCATCAATCATTCTGGAATCACATGCATCAATTTCAGATATGAATGAAGTCCATCGTGAACGGACGAATTCTATGCGCACCCTGTACTAATACTCAGTCTAAAGCGTTTGTCCAGTGAATAATCAATAGTTCAAGTGAAATTCTAGAAGGAGGTTTGTATTTTGTGCTGGATTTTTTTTTAAATGGAACATCCAACGGAACTTTTAAATATAAATGTTTACTGTTTTCT